TGCATCACCTCGAACATCTACAAGTTCAACAAGCCACTCACCATCAGCAATGAATAGTGATGAACAAAGAGTAGAAAGTGAATCGAAACTTGGGAAATGACAAAGCCACAAGAACACTCTCTAAGACCAGTAAGAACTAAGAAAGACGAGCACTTCATGAAAGCCCTGTATAGATGGAGCTTTCTAACGTCAGATTCGTTCAAGCATTACGTCGAACGGTTTACGAGCGAACTCCATAAAACCAATAGATACTTGCTACAACGCCATTCTCCACTACAGACCCAAAAACAAAATCGCAAATTTAGGATGACATGACTAATCCTCTAACCATCAAAAGAAATCAAGACTGTCCTAAGCAACAAATCTCCAAAATTTCTCAAATAAACATCCATGTGCAAGCAACGGAGGACCAATAAATCTAACAGACAACCGAGTGAGCATACCGGAAACTAAAAACGAAAAAGAGATGAAGGAATGATCACCTTGATAGCGAGTTCAGTCTCTTCCTGTCGCTCGAGCTCGCCGAGAACAGCTATCATGTCCAACTTCAACAATCTGAAAACATGTGTCTTTATGAATTTTTGGAGCTTCTCTTCATCGTCCTTAAACCTTTTGAGTCCGAGAATCACGAACAACGCCTCTTTGCCAATCAGCTTCTTCCCCCTCCAGAGCGGACCTCTAGGCCTCCCGTCATGGAACCGCGCGACAAAGCCCGTCAAGGGTTTATACAGAATCGGCTGCTGCGTCTTGGGATTTAGAGTCAAGAAAGAAACCCGATGAATCGCGGGATTTCTGGTCAGGTTTTGGAAGAGTGTTGAAGAGAAAATGGGGATTTTCGATCTCGAAAAGGCGCGAATTGCTGCCATCTCTATGTTCCCAGCGACAACAGTTACACGGCTTTGAGTTTGAGGAGAGACCTTGCCGTCGTCGGTCGTCTGGCACGAGATAAAAGCGCAATTGTCTAGAATGCCCTTGTTAAAACTAAAAACATGTAAGGACAAATATACCCTTGTCAAGACCACAGATTCACGAAAAACCCCTCCATAGATAACAGCCATTTCAACATTTACAAGTATGTAGAATTTCAATAAAACATGATCCTTAAATGTACATCTTTTATTTGGAGTTTTTAAACTGAAAAGCATGTCTGGTCAAGGAGGACAAATTTGGAGAGGCGCTTGTGCAAGAACATCATCCGACCATGTGGCATTATGAACTTGAAGCCCAAAGCATGTTCCTTTTACATTATTAGGCACAAGATGAATGCAACACTCAAGTTCAAGTATGGAGATAGTTCGCAGCCATCATCAGCTCCAGTGTTAGCTCTGGTTCGATGTGGAACTCTGTCTCCTTGCCTCTGCATGAGAGAGAAACATTTACTCAATCTCCATCACAAATGATTATAGAGATGCAGATGGAAGGGGATGAACAAAGCAAACAGAAACACCGTCGGTATGAATGATTTTCAACATTAGCAATGAAATCCCCCTACCAGCTGATCCGGTAAACTGCAGAAGATGATTGAGTACTGAAACTAGTAAAAGATGAAAGAGGATCGAGCAAATGCAGTGCCTGGAGTATTGGAGAGACCAATAGAAGTACTGGCAGATCTTCTCGAGAATGGTGGTGCTTATATCAGGGAAAGTCACCACTCCGAGCTGCGACTCGGCGAATCCGCCTGCCATGACATACAAAACCCTAAGACTCTATACACGTTTCTTCGGTGAAATCGGGCGATTCAACCACGCGTCAAATCACCAAATCGGTTGAGTTTCCGGGTGAAATCGCTTCGTTATCAGATCAAAATCACATGGAAAGATTCGAAATGCGATTGATCCCAGATCACGATTAAGCAAGGTCGCTAAACCAGGATCTCAGATTAGGATGAATAACAACCGCATAATCGCAAAGGAGGAGAGAAAACCTGGAGAAGTGAGCATGTTACGGATGGTCTGAGAAACCATAGCGGCTTCTCTGTCAATGATGAACTCGAACCCCTCTGCGCTTATCAGCTTCACCGTGTCTTCCTTCTTCATCTCCCTCCTCTCTCTCTCTCTCTCTCTCTCTCTCTCTCTGGAAGCTCTTGTCTCGTCTCCGCCAGAAGGCCTCACCCATAATCCAAATGGGCTTACTTTAAGGGCCCAATTGGTCCAATCGTGTAAGCTTTAGCAAATTCTTTTCTAAATCTAATAAAATAGTATTTGAATAATATATTTGATGCAATGTTAATATATTCCTAAATTCCTATTTCAATCATAATTTATTGTTAGACAAAAAAATTCAGCGGCGATATTTTCATTTTTTTTATGAGTATTTTGTTTCTAAAAGCTAATAATGTGCCTTAAAAAAATTATTGCACATATTCAATCAAGCGTAAAATTATAAATTATAAAAATGTCTAATGTTTGCGTATACTTATATATTCAAGTATATAATTAAATTAAACTCAATGGAAAATATTAGTTTCGAGCTAAAAAAAAGTTATACCACAGAAAAAAAGGCGAGAATCTTTAGTCGTATTGAACATTGAGGCTGTCATAAACGATAGATTTATTTTTCTTTGGAATGATTAAATCATCAATCAACAGACAATACTATATATATATATATATATATATATATAAATCATTAGAGGGGCAAATAGATGCTTATTCTCATGAAAATTTAATGTAATGGCACCTAATAATTGGACCGTCATCATGTTTGACAAGATATGCAACATTAGCATTGGCAAATGATTTATGATTAGAGCCTACCAAAATGCCGATAATACCCCTGGGACATCCTGTCTGTCTGCGTATCATTAGATGCCACCTCAGCATCGCAACTGGAGGTTTTGTCCTTTTCTCCAGCACGACACCGTTTTGTCGTGTTGACGCCAAAGACCTATTTATATATACGTACATTCGTTGCGTATATATGCTCGTATTTATTTCTCTCAAATTGAGAAGAAAAATAAGTTTTCTAATAAGAACCCGAAAATTTCAACGGTTTGTCTGAATTCTGGAAAAATTGTTTGGGGGTGGTAAAAAGAAACGAAAACCCTTTGCAAAAGAAGTTTCGTCCTTTGCAGATCTGAAGGGGGAAATTCGCTTCTCGAGGATCCGCCATTTCTCCGGCGAAAAGGGTATGCTCATTTCCTCTCTGATTCTCTAGGGTTCGTGTTAATTTCCTCGGATCTATTGAGTTTTGATGCTGCTGCTGCTGCTGATGATTCGGGTGTATGGATATACATGTATAGGTTGATTGGGCTATTGGAGAGGGAAAATGGCGCATAGGGTAGATCAAGATTACGATTATTTGTTTAAGATCGTGTTGATCGGTGATTCTGGTGTTGGCAAATCCAACATCTTGTCTAGATTCACCAGAAATGAGTTTTGCCTGGAATCCAAGTCCACCATTGGCGTCGAATTCGCCACCAGAACTCTTCAGGTGATTCATTTTCCCCATCCACCTTTTCCTCGATTCCTTTTGTGATTCATGTCGCAAGGAAGGACACGAGTAGAGTCTGAAAGTCTTTCTGTCGGAATTGAAGACATAAAAGACAGCAGTGAGTTCAACACCGGGTTGTTTACGGCCTCTAGACTTTGTGCTGATTCACGTGATTTGATGCGTAGATTCTTCAGAGCTGTGATTTCGACTGTTTCTTTCTTCTGTTGTTTCGGCTTCATGTTCGATCTGGAGTCATTCTTTCTAGTTTTGAGAATTGAGATTCAACTTTTCTCCATTACTGCTTTGCAAGATGAGTGAATTAACTTTGAAGTTTCCGGGGTAGTTTTACTTCCTAAGCAATGCATATGCTAGGAATCAAATTGTAGCATTAGTCTATTTGTACGGTAGAGTGTGAAATGCCATTTTTTACCTGCATATCGATTTTACCTCTAAAATCTAGACTTTTGGTTTCCCCATCAGCTTCTTGATCCACTTGTAAGAATTAAAAGTGTTCAGGCCAATGGTATGCATTGACGCTGGCTTTCTGTAATTTATTTTAGTTTGCATCCATTTGCATCCCAAATTCTCTTCCTTTTACCCACAAAATGAATAAAGACTGTCTCTTGGTGGATTTAGTTTGTGGGAATCTTATTTTGGTGAAAGTTTCTTTGCTGTTCATGGTTTTCTAAGATCAAAGTGTTTGATTGATGCAGCTGAATATTTGCTACATTCTTCTCTCAGCCGTTGAATCGTCTCAATCGTTCTTTACTTGGCCTTTGGGTAGATTGGAGATAACTAATAGAGTCAATCTCTGTCTTGTCAGTTCTCACTTCTCAGGGTATATATATATATTTTTAAAAAAGGAATCTTAGAGTGTGCTGGTCATGACCCATGCTTTTATTTGTTTTACTCTATCAATAGCCGTGAGGACCGGTGGAGGAAAAACCGTCATGATTGGCTCATGTAAAATGACATATACTCACACATGTGTGGTAATAATACCTCAAGAATGTTGGTCTTTGATCCTGTTGAGATGTGATTCCAGCAACTGAAACGGGACTTTTTTTTCCGCGAGAAGTGCTTATTGCGATGGAAATAGCTGTCTCTGCATTTGAGATGAGATGATTATTCATCCTATACGAGGTCTGATCGTTTATTGTCGTGCATGTCTGCTGTTGCGAAAACGGGGATACAGGTAGAGGGAAAGACCATCAAGGCGCAGATATGGGACACTGCAGGGCAAGAGCGGTATCGGGCAATCACCAGCGCTTATTACAGAGGAGCAGTAGGTGCGTTTCTTGTCTACGACATAACCAAGAGACAGACCTTCGATAATGTCCAGAGGTGGCTACGTGAGCTGAGAGACCATGCGGATTCAAACATTGTGATAATGATGGCTGGGAACAAATCCGATCTTAACCACTTGAGATCAGTTGCTGAGGAGGACGGCCAGTCATTGGCCGAGAAGGAAGGTCTGTCCTTCCTCGAGACATCTGCCCTGGAAGCCACCAACGTGGAGAAGGCCTTTCAGACCATTTTAACTGAGATTTACCATATCGTCAGCAAAAAGGCACTGGCTGCACAAGAAGCAGCCGCTGCTAACTCTGCCATTCCTGGTCAAGGAACTACCATTAACGTAGATGACGCATCAGGAGTCACTAAACGTGGATGTTGCTCTACTTAAGGTATATATATATATCCATATATATATATATTTATATATCTTGTTCATCATCAAAGCTTGAAACTTTTTGTTTTTTTTTCCTTCTGGCTTCTCTCTCTCTCTCTCTCTTCAAGTTTTGGCTGAAGCGTTATGGAAGACAATGTAGAATACTACTGCTTTCCATTTACTCTCTCTTCGGTTGGGTTTGAGATTCTGTAAACAAAAAAGAAAACTTGCCAGTATACGTTAGAATCTGCGGTGTTTCCTTTCCGATGTCTTGTCTCTGTATGTTCCATTTCTTCTGGTTCACAGCAAGTGTACTGTGTTCATTCTTTCTTCTTTCTGGATTCGGTTTGGTTTAGATTGGTTTCTCGGTTCGGTTTAATTTAATTTAGTTTTTCAATTCGGTTTGGTTCAGTTTGTTTAGCATATTAAATTGGTGTTTCCAGCACACGGTTTTGCATGATCTGGTTGCCAACAAAGGCCATGTGGAATCGAATTTAACATATTTTAAGAATCTTTTTATTTTTTTAATCCGTGTTACAAATGATTGAAATGTTAGAATATGATATTATTAGTCTAAAAATGTCATCAAGTTAGGAATTGGTGAGAATTAGTTGGATTCATTACCTCCATCTCATAAATAATTGGATTCACATTACAAATTCGATGTTTATATGATTCATTTGTCTAAGATGGGGGTTGATGTGTTTATGTTAAAATATACATCTGAAAAGGAATATTTATAAAATATTAGCAAGTGATGTGGAAGCAGTGGGGACCATGAAATCCATCCTAAATGGAAGATGCGATTATTGTTATGGCAAAGAGAGTTGCCTTTGCAGTGTAGCCTATTGGTGATTTATTTATTTATTTATTTAATATTATTGGTTTTTTATGGACTGAAAAAAAATTAAATACGCAAAAACGAAGCAAAAAAGACCTAAAATAAAAGAATAAATAAAAACCAGAGGAGAAGCCCACTAACCTTCGATAAGCGCACCCATCAGAGAATTCGATTGGGAAAAAGAAATTTATAAAATCGAGGAAAAAAGGGGAAAACTTTTTGGTTCAAAGATCAAGGGAAGATTTGAAATTTTTCTTCTTTGGCTCCTGGTCGATCGGGGGTTTTTTTTTTCTCTCTTTTTGGTCCGAAAAGATTGAAACTTTGTAGATAATTTTGGGGAGGTGAGGTTCGATTTCGATAGGGTTCGTTCTTGAATGGCACAACAAGGGCAGGGAAGCATGGACCCTGCCGTTCTCGATGACATCATCCGACGTCTGTTGGATTACAGAAACCCTACGCCTGGGACGAAGCAGGCGATGCTCGGCGAGTCTGAGATCCGACAGCTTTGTGTCATGTCCAGAGAAATCTTTCTTCAACAGCCCAATCTTCTTGAGCTCGAAGCTCCCATCAAGATCTGCGGTATTAATCTGGTTCCGTTTTCTGGGTATCCCTTTTGTTTCTGTTTCTGGGTTCGTCGGCTTTTCGGGATCTGAGTTTTCTGCGTTTTGAATGCACTTTTTAGGTTTAGAAATCATTCCGTTTTTTCATTTCTTTTTCGCTTCCTTCATTGAAAAGTTTGCAGCTTTTGATTCTTTTGGCTTTCCTCTAGGATCAATGTTTTTTTCTGGCAGAGGAGGAGATGTGCTTTGTTGTGTAGAAATGTGAATTGGCTTAGGGAGAAAAGTTTGGTGATCGTGTGATTACAGCTATCTTGAAAAGAGTAAAGCAATGAAATTATGTATGTTGTAATGGAAAATGGTCAAGACAGGGTGCGTGTTTAATGACCACCTGATTACAGCTTATCTCCAATTGAAGAGACAAACTAAGAGAAATGGAAACAGGTTGATCTGTAATAGGAAAAAAAAATGCATATGTTTCTGATGATGTTTCAATGGGGTTTATCAGCTTTCAACCATTGTTTCCTATGCCCTTCTCAAATTGGATTTCATTTTCTCCCTTCTAATCTATGGGCTCTTCACTTGTTTTGTTCTTAAGACAATGGGATTAGGCTTATGAATCACTTGATCCTAAAACCTTACTCTGATGCTGCAGTTTTCTCTAGTTTTTTTCACATGTTATCTCTGATTAATTGTTTCTTCAGGTGATATTCATGGCCAATATTCAGATCTGCTGAGGCTTTTTGAGTACGGAGGCTTTCCTCCCACGGCAAACTATTTATTCTTGGGGGATTATGTGGACCGTGGCAAGCAGAGTTTGGAAACTATATGTCTTTTGCTCGCCTACAAGATCAAATACCCGGAAAATTTCTTTCTTTTGAGGGGAAACCATGAATGTGCTTCCATTAACAGAATTTACGGGTTCTACGATGAATGTAAACGTAGATTCAGCGTGAGGTTATGGAAAACGTTTACTGATTGTTTTAACTGTCTCCCTGTGGCTGCTGTCATAGATGATAAGATATTATGTATGCATGGTGGTCTTTCCCCCGACTTAACCAACGTGGATCAGATTAAGAACGTACAACGCCCGACTGATGTTCCAGATTCTGGTTTGCTCTGTGATCTACTTTGGTCTGATCCCAGCAAAGATGTCAAAGGCTGGGGGATGAATGACCGTGGAGTCTCATACACATTTGGACCCGACAAAGTTGCTGAGTTTCTAATAAAGAACGATATGGATCTCATCTGCCGTGCCCACCAGGTTAGTTCCCTTTTCGGGTTTCGAGTTTCGGGTCTCTGTTCTTGAAAATGGGTCTGCCATCTAAACCCGTTTCTTCCAGGTTGTAGAGGACGGGTATGAATTCTTTGCTGATAGACAGCTTGTAACTATATTCTCTGCTCCCAACTACTGCGGTGAATTCGACAATGCTGGTGCAATGATGAGTGTTGATGAAAGTTTAATGTGCTCTTTCCAAATTCTTAAGCCTGCGGATCGGAGGCCACGGTTCTTATGAAGAGCAGAGGTATTTTTTATGCTTATGCAAGTTATATATGACTCAGTAATCATCATCTTAAAAGTATCTGGCTTTTTTGTCTCTGGTTGTGGTCTTGACAACATGTTTGATATTATAAACCCTTTTCTCTGTTCCTTTACTTTTGAAAGCTTGGAACTTTCTGTTTCTAAACCAGATTGTGATGTGGGTTCATCTAAAACATATGGAAAGTTATCAGATTTCGATTGCTTACGCAGGAACTCTTGTCAAGAACTCGGCCGGATTTTCTGAAGCTCCTCCATGGGAGTTCTCTGGAGTTGCAAAGGCAACAAACCATATTTTTACTTGTTCTCATCTTCTTATATGACATTTCCATTTGTTTTGTCAAACTGTTGTGTTCTATGGGTTCTTGACTCTAGGCACTCAAAAGTCTGCAACAAGTTCTATCATTCTTTTCTCAATTCGAGTCTTTCGCTTTGGTCTTCCTTTGATGTTTTACATGTCTGAGATAAGAATCCTCGTGTATATACATTATATTCTGTAACTCACCACAACTTTACATCACACATACTCGGGGAAGCTTTCTTTGTTCATGGGTTCTCTCACATTTTTTACAGATTTAAATCCTTGAAACAGCTCTCTGAAATCTCATGTGAATACAAGTTATTGCTTGTTTGACAGAGCAGAATCGTAGGCAGATATGATCATAAATGGAAGGGGAAGTTTGTCAAGCTCCTTTCAGAATTCTGGTAAGGGGTATCTGTTCTCATCCGAAATGGTCAAACTTTGCAGGTGAATGGATCCAAAGCTCCAGTCTTTTTTCTTCCTGCATTTTGGGGCTTTTCACCAGCTGTTCACGACGATGTGGCAGTATCACGATCTGTTCTTGCACTCTCCAAAGCCCTACATAAACCCTTTTCTCTTCTGTTCCTTTTTCTCTGCACTGTTTTCGTTGAAAAAAATGGAGTCCGTACACCGCGTCCTCGTGGTGGTTCTGTTTCTTGTCATGCAAGAAAGCGCCGGTCGTCTCTGGTTCGCCTCTGCTTCTGCAGACTCTGAATCAGATGAGCAGTTCGATCACCCATCTCATTACAAGGGTTGGCCACCGAAAAGATTCAGACCGCCGGTCAAAGGTTACCCGCCACCGGTAAAGGAGTGCCCACCTCCGGTTAAAGGTTACCCGCCACCGGTTAAAGGGTATCCACCCCCGGTTAAAGGGTATCCACCACCAACCCAAAAACCGCCACCTGCAGGGCATCCTGCGCCGGTAGAGTACCCGCCACCGGTGAAAGGGTATCCACCTCCGGTACAGTACCCCCCACCAACCCAAAAACCACCGCCTGCAGGGCATCCTCCACCGGTAGAGTACCCTTCGCCTCCGTACAAGAAATATCCTCCGCCGGTTCAGTATCCATCGCCGCCAAGTGGGAAGTATCCGCCGCCGTCCGGTGGGTATTCTCCGGCGGAGCCGC